GCTGTGTCCAGGCTCACCCGTACTTCTTAGCATCTGACTGGAGCTGGAAGAGGACCTGCTGTGCTCTTTTGGGGTATGCTTAGAGTTATTTTGTTTTGTTTACATTTTTCTTAGTTTCCTGTTCCCAGCTGGTTATCATATACCTTTTTTTCCTTTAAAAGGTACGGGGAAGTCGTTTGTTGAATCATACAATCTGATACTTGTGCTGTCCGCCCCATTACTGTGCTGTGTGATGGGATGGTCATTGTGCAAAGGGAATACTGATATTGTCTGAGCTTCAATTTCCTGTACAATCTAATTTAGGTTCCTGAATCATGTCACTCTGTTTTGCACAGAGGGGGTCTATCTCCTGGCTAAGCACCAGGCACAGACCTCTCCACCCTAAACAAAGCAAGGCAGCAGGTACTGATCCCACAGAGAAACCGAAGCCTCATTTCTTCCCACCACCCGGGACATCTCCAGAGAATCCAAAGGCAGTTTTGCCAGCCTGTTACTCCATCTATCTTCTATCCTGAAATTTGTGAATGAAATACTGTACAGTGATGTTGATGAAGGGCAAATGATGGTAATTTAAAATTAGATTTCCCCTTTGAAAAGCTCTTCCAGGTAGTATTGCCAGCACTTACTGATGGCCTTGTCAGGGCTTAATGGCTGAGTCATTTCTGATGAAGTTTTCAAGCATCAGTGCTTCTGTAGTAAAACGTCACAGTGACAGTCAATTCTTTCCCCCTTCATCAGTTGTTGGCCTGACAACTCTGATGACGTGGGAAACTACTTCAGCATAGAGGTAGGCAGCTGTGCCTCTGACCAAGCCAGCAGCGGGACGTGATCCAGGTCCAGAGGGACGTGGCAGGAGTCCCACTGGGCAAAACAACCACCATCATCAGCTAGACGAGCGTTCTGGCAAGAGCATAAATGGTCATTGACATGAACTGCTTTGATAGTGGGGGATTTCCAGCAGCAAACCTCCTGACTCTTCTCCCTCTCAGCATCAAGGCCATGGGACGTGGTATGCTTTTTCTCATCAGTGTCTGACTTGGCATCAAAGGATGGTTCAGGCTCAGGGCGCTCACACAGACTCAGGGCTGGGTACAGTTTCGTGGAGTCTGCCACAGAAAGAATCAGAGAAAGAAGCTCCATTCCAGTGCGTAGACCTTGGGTTGTTTGGTTTTTTTTAAAAAAAAAAAAAAGAGTACCTTTTTTTTGTACAACCTGCCTTCCAGCCCATCTTTCTCGTAGTCCCTACACATAGGATCTGTGCTTGAAGGTAAGTTAAGAGAGGGTGAAATGCACAGCTCTGTGTTGCAGAGAGTATCAGGGCAGGTACGTACTGCGTGGTGATGGGTGCTTACACACACAGCATCCATGTGCCAGGTGAACAACACATCTCCAGCTCCACTCCCTGTGAAATGAGTCCTTCTTCCTCAGGGCATTCCTAACAGATTTTGTATGTGCCTCTTTATAATGCAGAATATGTGCTGCTCTGATTAATTTTTTTACTTCTGATTATTCAGTACTGCACATAAACAGATGTGCAACAGTAAAGTGCCCCCTGTTAATCAGGAACTGTTAAGCCATATGGCATGTGAAGATGGAATATTACAGCTATGGGATGAGAGCCTCCTGTTCAGCAACCAGGTTCACATGCAGCGAGTACCGTGTTAATATATTCTTGCCAACGCTGTCAGTTGCTTCATCTGGCGAGTCAGCCTCAGTGATGGAGTGGATTTGTGGAGTTTTCCTTCTCTGCTGACGTACTGTTTCAGTTAAGTCAGTGCCGAGAGTCCGTCTTCCCATTTAAAAACTTTGTAAAGGTACTGGTGAAAAAGCAGAGAATGCTCTGAGCTGCCTATACTGCACTGTTCTTAGATATTGTAGATACAGCAAAGATGCAGGTGGCCCTATTGCATGTCCATTGGCCCAATTTCTTTTAGTGACCTGTCTCAGAGAATCACAAGAGTAGGAAAGTCCAAGAGGCTTCTTGTATCAGATGCGGTGTTGTGACCAATGTGCCCTGATGTTGTGAGTGCTCAAGAACAGGCTGACAGTGAGTGTTGCTGCTGCAAGTGATCAATCCATAATACTGGGAACATCCACCATAACCAGTAAGTGAGAGGTTTCCAGCATTGTTTGCCATTAGGAGTAATTATTCGAGTTTGCATTGAGGTAGTCCACAACACATCGGACATGAAAAGAAATTCGAAAGGTCCCTTTTTTGTGTGTGATATTTTAACGGGCTCAAGCTACCTAGAGAATCTTCTTGCCCAAGGCAGCCTGAGATCTAGGAACCACTCTAATGGACGTGTTGTAAACACTTTAAGGTGTTACTTGGCTACCGGAACTGTTGTCAAAGGATTGAAGGTTTTCATTGCCTGGTATCTGAAATCTTACTTAAAATGAAGATGGCATTAGGTCTGTAGTGTTAGTTTCTTAGCACACTTAACATACGATTGTACGGAGCATGGAAATGGGTATGTTTGCAGCAGGGTTAAAAAGTCACTACACAGAATATTGCCTTTCGCAGGTGCCCCATTATACCAAAATAGCTGCTCCTTTCTCCTAAAGTGCAGGCAGCCTGTCTCTAAGGAGGAAAGGGATTTCTGCAACTAAAGAGTTGGTTTGTGTTAGCAGTCAGTCATTGCAGGGCTGCTGTCTGCACCTGGGCTCATACTGCCCGATGCCAAGGTGTCAAGCATCTTACAATGATATCCTGTAGTGGATGCTTGTCATTTATGTTCTCTGCTTTTATTTCTTCCAAAGCACAGACCTGTACCTCTCTTGAGAAGAGCCATTAGTGGTGGGTGTTTTTTTCCCTAAAGTGCATTTATATTTTTGTTTTCAAAGCTATGATATTTTTGGCCTTAAACTGTGCTTCAGACTTCTTTGAGATTCAGAGCACTTTGCATATTGTTCATGGACATCTCTGTGATGCATTTCATCAGTTGGAAAATGAAATCACGGACAACATTTCTGGTGGATTATAGTTCTTTGATCCGTGATTTAGGACTTTAACCATGAGATAACCTTTATCCTTTTGCTGGTAGAAAACTCCACTGGCAGAAAACCATCATAAAGGGAGCTGATCAGGAAGTGTTTGAAGTGTGGTGTTGGAGCCAAGGAAATATCGATGCATTCCAAGGCTAACTATAGCAAAAAGGCTATATTACTGCTTTATTCTGGTGTGATGTGATGGCTAGCAAAAGTTTTAGTAGCAGTGTATAGCTAAATGCTGATCAAGACATGGGGGGAAATAAATTTTTTTTTTAAAAAAGGTGGACCGCAGCTGGTGTAGTCAAGCTAGCAGTAGGCAAAGTTAGCTTGGGGAGGGGATATTTTAGCTTTGATGATTTCTACTTCTATTTAAAGTATCTTACTGTATATTTCAAATTTCAGAATGAGTTATTACATGCCACTGCATAGGAAGGCAGCTTTCTCCCTGTTTTTAAAACAAGCTCACAGCTAAAAGCAACTACTTGCTACTTTTCAGACTTCCTACTAGTATTAGTACAAAGTCATGGGGCATATTGCGATGCTCACCTTTTATCTACTGTTAACAAAAAAGTAAAAAAGGCCTAATATTAAAGTCCTTGAGCAATGAAAAGCTATTATTTACAGGGAGCATTAGATTCATGAACTGCTGCTCTGTCTGTAAACTTGATTTTATTTAGCTGTTTGCTGAGTGGACTGTACCAGAACACTCAGTGTGTGTTTGAAGGGCATCATTTTATGTATGGGCAAACCTGGAGCTGCTCTGTGTGACAAGGTATGTTGTTTAAAGCGGGAGCGTGCCTTGCTGTGATCCCTCAGGTCATGGCAGTGAGACTTTGTGCCCTTCCTAGTAAAAGCAGCGCCTTGGTTTGTTGGGCAGAGGATTTCAGTGCTTCCATGGCCCCTGCTCTCCAGGTAGTTACAGCGTACCAGGACACTGCATTTAAAACCTCTTCATCTGTTGTGTGCATTGGTTTTTTTTAATTTTTTAACAGACGTGAGGACATTAATTTCCCAGGTTTTCCTGCTTTATATTCTAAGCAGCACACAAAACTGGGAGGTGGAAATCAAGCGAGATGCACTTGAAACCCCCACTTGAATCTGGAGCATAGGCCACTCGGTGTGTTTGTGTTGAACATATTTAACAACAGGCTGTAAGCGTGCGAGGTGAGGTTCAGACTCAGAATAACATTGCAGGAGTGTAGCATCTGTCTGACAACCCGGTTTGGACAAGAATCAAATGAGGAAAGTATATTGGGATTTCATTCAGCATCTCCGTGCTTTATAAAGATAAACCATCAGAAATGTGTGCTTTTCCATAGATAGAGGTTATATAATAGTCCCGTAAGTTTTCTGTGGAGGGTTATAGGTATAAGTGTGTTCCCTCTGAACAACTTTAACAAATGACTGATTTGGATGATGAATTTTTAATTCTCTAGGCTATAATAAATGACAAAAAAAAAAAAGGTAGTGATTGATTTAGCTTAATTACGTGCGAGCTGCGATATTGTGCAGTTACGGGGGGAGGCCAGAATGAGTATTTGGGACAGAGCTGCCTTAGGGTGCGCAGCTTTTGTAACAGTTCCTGCCGAAGCCTTGCCTCTTCTATCTGGTAAGGACAGCTTCCCTTGCTTCTCTAAATCCATGGCCAGATCTTTGTTGTGCGGCATGTGCCACTAGCTGGGGCCTGGCCTCCCAGCACTGGCGACCTGTCAGATGCGCTCTGTTTGCACCTATGTTGATAGCCGTCAATGGCAAACTCTTCGTTCAGTTCAGTCCCCAGAGGTGATACCCGGTGGAATGCAGACATCTGCTTACAAGGACTCAAGTGGTCACCTCAGTTCTCATACCCTGTGTGGGAAACATGTGCTGCATCTCAGGGAGAGCAGCAGGCCTTTCACTTGATGGAAATTTGACCTACTGGTGCTAATTTGGGAATCCACCACCACCATAGCCCGACACGAGACCCGCTCTGACATGCTTGGGGTAATTCTGACTGTGCTTTCCTCTAGGAGGACTTTCGGAATAAAGTTGAAGATTACATTAAGCGCTATGCGAGATGATGAAGGGAGATGGATGGCAGAACCATGGCTTCCGTACTAGAGTTGTCCTTAACTTCAACAACAACAACAACAAAACCAGCCCGGATTGTACTAGTCCTGTGTCCATGTTGTACTGAAGAAGAAAACTAACTTCATAACTTGTCCATGTTAAAAGGAGAGCTCAGCATAAATACAGCAAGAAATTGTGTATGTTGGTTGAAAAAGTTGTTTGCTTACTTTTAAAAATGTTTACTCTTCTGAACTGTACTGTATATCCTGTTGATGAGATATGCTTGAGAAGTTAAAAGAAATCACTATTGAAATTGTAATTACACTTTTTTTTAACTCTTGCCTAGTTTGGAGGGGGGAATGAAGAAAAAAAAAAAAACAGAAAAGGTAGTGTGGTTTTGGAACACTTCAAGTTGGCAATAAAATGGTCTCCTGTGAACCAAATCACAATAATGTTGCCTTTGATGAGCAGAAACAATACGAGCCTTTTCCAAGCATCATTCAGCTAAGGCTTAGAGCTTGCCAGAATGCAAGTGCTAAATGAAATTCTACTTCTGATATTGAAATTCTTGATGATATTTAATGTAAGTCCGTTTTTGTCACACGTTTGGAACTTTTACATTGTTATTTTCAGCTCCAGTTTGGGCCACAGTATTTTTTTTTGTTTCTATTCATTGTGTGAAGTAGTTAAAAGAAATATAGGCTAATCTGTAACTTAATTAAATGTGTAGTATTAGTAAATTTATATATATATTATATATATTATATATTTCTGTGAAAATTTAATGAAAGGGAGATTTTTTTTTTAAGAAATCTGCCTTTGGCTTTCCAGTCTGGATGGGGCGAGGGAACATCAGACGCTGTTCAATCTGATGAAAGTAAATTCAAGCACCGTTACCTGGAGAACGCCTAATTGTGTTCTTCAAACTTCTGCACTGAAAGTGAATGACTAATAACGCAGCTGAGAATAATAATGCACTGCACCCTTTTTTAAACACTCGTGCGTGCCTGGCTTTTTGGTAATTTGAAAGGATATGATGCTATAATTGCCTTTTCTGTAAGTAGCTGTATATCAAACATAGTATGTGCAAGCAGAGATCCTTCAGAAGAGAGTAGCATGTACCTCAGGAATCACTTCAGAGTAAATGCCGTGAGAAGTCTGCTGCCTGTCGTGTGCCAGAGCTCCCCGCTGCTCACCCACTGACCCAGGGGACGCTCGGGGCTGCCAAGCTGGGAGGCATTGGCAGAGCCTCAGAGACGTTTTGCTCGTGGGATCATGCAGAGGAGGTGCAATGGAACCAATGCAAGCTTTTATAAATAGATAAACCATAGAAATAAATGTTCGTGTGGTTTCATATGGAGCAAGTGTGTGTGTAACACTCGGGTGTTGACTGTTGGGTTTTTATCCCCCTGAATGATTATGCTTCGTTCTTTCTTCTGCAGACCCTGAAGGATACCAAAATTGCCTCCATCATTAGCATGGCAGAGCTGGCTTGCCAATTTTAAGTGTGGTGCAGCCTTGCTTGTTAAGTTTTCCCTGTGCCTTGTCACTTACAGCTTCACAGGCTCCTGTACGCGTTACTGACGGTCTGGGAAAGCAGGGACATGAAATGCAGAAATTGGCATGCAGGAGGAGAGCCTTATCGTGAGCCTCATCTTTGGATAATATTGCCACTGTGTATATTTAAAATGAAACATGGATCGGCATATTACTTTAAGCAGGCAACTGCAGTGAGGGATCTTTGCTGCCAAAATAGTAATGTCAGGGAAGGTAAGGAATAAAGCACTCGCAAAAGTAGAAAGGCTGGAAACTATGTCCAGTTTTTGTGTATTGAATCTGAAGGATTCTGGTATTTTCAAGCTGAAAATGTTGAACCCGTTTGCTTTAATGATGAGTGCTCCTTGCTGTAGTGGCCCCTAGTACCATTATCACTTTCTGTCCTTCAGCAAAGGGGGTAGAAGTCCCTGTTTCTTGGGCTGTCACCCATGCCTGGCTCCCCAGTCTTGCCTGGAAGCCACTGCAGATGCTGCCAGGGCAGAGCAAATAGAAGCTGCTGCTACAGAGAGCCAGGAAAAAGCCATGTCAGAGTGTGCAGCAGGTTTGGGGTGTCAGCAGCCTGTGTGAGCACAGCGCTAGAGATGCAGTTATCAGAGCCAGTCCCCACCTCCCAGTACAGTCCTGTTGCATAATCCCTTCGCTGTGTTTTTGCTTCCCTAGAGGAGAGGGGCAGAATATTCAAGTTGAGATACTATTAAGTACTGTAGAAGAAGGCTTAAGCATCAGTTTCTTCCCATCCAGAATACACAGAGGCAAAATGTTGCTCCTCATCCTCACAGAGCCCATTAGCTCACAGTCCAGGAAAACAAACTGAATTGTTTCTTCCTGAACACGAGGAGCTGGGAGCTTTTCTTAATATACAGATGTATATTTATTTTTATATGTATTTATATAGATATATTTATGTAGATATTTGTATAGATGCAACTAATCCATACTCTTTCCAGCCACCCTCAATTTCCACCTCTCACTGAAGCACTAAGCCAGGGGTGCCATGGTGGGCACGGTTCACTCCATATGGCCAAAATACTCCTACAGAAATCTCAGGGGCAGCTCGTTGCCATCCTGCACTCTCATAGGCCCCCTGCCACAGCTGAAGGCAAACTATCCTATACATCCCCAAACCACCACCTTCTCTTGTGACCAGTCAGTGGATGGAGGCTCCTCAGCAAATAGCGCTTGTGCAGGAATTGGCTTCTGCAACTCCCACACAGCTTTTGGAACAACCTGCTGCTTTTTTCTTGTGGGCTTTTGTTTTTATCAGAGCCAGTGCCAATGATTCGCACCAGAGATGGGCACCTGCTTTATTTCTTTATTTATGTAGGAAAAGCACCTTATTCCCCTTGCTCATTAACCCAGGGCACTGCCAAGGCCACCACTGGTGCCACCGCTGATTCTCGCCCATTGCTCCCCACCTCCCAGGGAAAACCTACCCCATTTGGGCTTTGGCCTTGCGCTGGGGGCCAGGGGAGGAGATGCCTTTCCTGGTGGGAAAAAAAAAAAAGTAAAAAGAGAAAGCCATGATGGTTTCATCACCCGGGGTTGCACCCAGACCTGCTGACCTTGTGGTTACACGCACCGGCATCCCCCGACACTGTGCCAGCACCACAGGGCCAGCAGGATTTCAACCCCCCACCTCCCTTTTTTATTTTTTAAAAATTTTCCTCTTTTGGCAAAATGTGATGCTGTGGAGTGCCAGGAGGGAAGCAAGTGGGAAAGATGGCTGCAGTGCTGATGCCCGAGGTGAGCCGTGCTCCCTGGTACCCCAAGAGGGCGGCCCACCACTGGGGCAGCCACCAACAGCCTTGCCAGTCACCGGCATCCCATATCGCCAAACGACCCCAGTCTTAAATGATGTATTTATTTGGAAACTGCTGGGCGAGTGGCACGTGCGCAGTGCGGAGAGTACCGGAAAGAGAGGAGCAGTGGTGTTACCGTCTCTGCCTCCCAAACTTGGTACCCTCTGGGATGCTTCTCTGCCCAGGTCTTCCCAAAAAAACGTGTGCTTTCAGGGTGGGGACACCCTGTCCCTCCCCTGTGCCAGCGGCAGGGTGCCCCTAGACGATGCCCTCGCTGCGTTTGCTCCTCCACACCACCAGCGCTGTCATCAGCAGGGTGACAAGGATGGGCAGCAGGATGAAGGGGCAGAGGACGCCATTGGGGGGGTCGTGCAGCGCCCGGCCAGAGGGGGAGCAGTTCTTGAAATACTGCCTGTGGACAGCCACGAAGAACTCATCCACCAGCCGGTTGGGCCAGTAGCAGTCGAGTCTCTCGGCGATCAGTGCTGTGCAGTTCGTCAGCTCCCCGTAGGTGCTGCAAGACAGACAAAGGCACCATCATTACATACTTTCTATTATAGATGTGTTTATCACGGTGGAGACCAGTGACGAGTGGTGTTCCTCAGCGGTTGGTACTGGGACTAGTGCTGTTCAACATCTGTTGGTGACATGGACAGTGGGATTGAGTGTGCCCCCAGCAAGTTTGCCAATGATACCAAGCTGTGTGGCGAGGTAGACACACTGGAGGGGAGGGATGCCGTCCAGAGGGACCTGGACAGGATGGAGAGGTGGGCCCATGCCAACCTCATGAAGTTCAACAAGGCCAAGTGCAAGGTCCTACATCTGGGTCGAGGCAATCCCAAGCACAAATACAGGCTGGGCAGAGAACGGATCAAGAGCAGCCCTAAGGAGAAGGACCTGGGGGTGCTGATTGATCGGAAGCTCAACATGAGCCGGCAAAGTGCAATCACAGCCCAGAAGGCCAACCGTATCCTCGGCTGCATCAGAAGAAGTGTGGCCAGCAGGTCAAGGGAGGTGATTCTTCCTTTCTACTCCACTCTTGTGAGACCCCACATGGAGTACTGCATCCAGCTCCAGAGCCCCCAACATAGGAAAGACATGGACGTGTTGCAGCAGGTCCAGAGGTGGGCCACAAAGATGACCAGAGGGCTGGAGCACCTCTCCTATGAGGAGAGGCTGAGAGAGTTGGGGTGGTTCAGCCTGGAGAAAAGAAGACTCCAGGAAGACCTTATAGCAGCCTTCCAGTACCTAAAGGGGGCCTACAGGAGAACTGGGGAAGGACTTTTTACAAGGGCATGTAGCAATAGGACAAGGGGGAATAGCTTCAAACTGGAAGAAGGTAGATTTAGATTAGATATTAGGAAGAAATTTTTCACTCTGAGGGTGGTGAGGCACTGGCACAGGTCGCCCAGAAAAGCTGTGGATGCCCCATCCCTGGAGGTGTTCAAGGCCAGGCTGGATGTGGCCTTGGGCAACCTGGTCTAGCGGGAGGTGTCCCTGCCCATGGCAGGGGGGGTGGAACTCAATGATCTTCAAGGTCCCTTCCAACCTAAACCATTCTATGAATCAATGATTCTATGATATGTTATTTGAGATTGTTATCTGAGTTATTTGAATTTTTTTTGAGATTGTAGGTAGATAGGTATAAAAATGTATGTGGGGATTTTAATTCCCAGCAGGTTTTGCCACTTTGAGTACACTTTAAGTGCTCACCCACAGCCAAAAGCACAAGGAGTTTTCATTTATAGAAGGAAATGACTAACAGCAAGGGTTTTTTTTTGTTTGTGTTAATTTTTGCAGGATTTCATGGCCAGACCGGCGCTATTAGAAAATACTGGTTGGACCCAAATAACCCTGTGGGACCTTTACGCAAAGGCCTTCAGGAAACCCATCGTGAGCCACAGAGCAGCTCGCCTGGCTGCCAGCCTGCGGGGCACCATCCTTTAGCTTGTGCAGGTTCACCCAAAAGGGGACAGAAATAAAGTATATCATTGAATTTACTCACAGTTCCTTTAATTGCCTAAAAATAAGGGGGTTTTGAACCAACAGCATGCTTTTGAAGCTTGGCTCTCTGCAATTTGCAGTGTCATGGTTTGCAGGTTCGCAGGACCGTGACCCATCCCACCTCTCACTAGCCAGCAAGTCCATTTTCTGAGGTTCTGGGTTTTTTTTCCAAATATTGGGAAAACGCAGAGCAGCCCTGAGCAAGAGGCACCGCAGGCAGAGGACAGGCCCTGTCTGTGCTGGTCCAACCACCCACCCTCTGGAAAGACAGGTATTACCATGGGTTTCAAATCCTACCTTCTTTAAAATTGGCTATGCATAAAAAAAGGTACATAATTTTTTCCCCTATCCCAATTGCTCACGGTTAATCCTAGAGAAGCAGAGCTAACCAAAACCCGACTATTCAATTAAAAACCCGCCTGGGGGAAGAAATGTTTCATAAGGAGCTTCCCAGCTACTCGCCGCAGCCTCTCTGCATCTCATCAGCTGGGTTTTTGGGCAGGCAGCGGTTGCCTTGCTGTGCCCATCGGCACACGGCAGCGCCGGAGGGAGGCCTTGCAGAGTCTGGTGATTTAATTAATGGGGCGCCTGGAGCTACTAAAAGCAGCTTCTGCTCAGCATCCCAATGTGCAAAATTACCATTTCCCGCTCATCAGCATCCTTAGCAGATCTTGGGAGCTAAAGCACCATCAGTAACCAGAGTGAAAGAGTTAACAGAGAAGTGAATAAAACCTATTTTTCAAACTGAAGGGCCATACAGCAGCTGGCTTAGCCCTCCCCCAGCTCAGAGCGCGCTTTCGTGCTGATAAATACTTGCTCCCATCGTTATATGTGAAGACATGCAAGTAACCAGAGCAAAATGGTGCCAGCAAATGAAAGGAAAAATTGTAATTGCACTTTGCACTTAGGCAGCATCCATATTTCAGTGCTCGGATGGCTCTGTGAGCATCAGCTGGGGAGAGGATGGACCCGAGGAGAGGAGCCGAGTGGCTACAGACCTGCAAGCAGCGTAGGAGGGCGTGGAGGTGGCCGTGGGGCCAAGATCATCTGTCCAGGCATGGAAGGAGGTCCTTCCATCCTGATAGAGGGTCTGCAGCTGTGGCTTAAGAGTCCTAAGTCTCTTGTCCCTTTGATTTTCACATCCCATCTTCGTTAAAGACACCCTGCTCTGGATGGGATTGTGTCCTCAGCAGGAGCAGGTGGCACTGCAGGCACTGCCACCCACTGGCCCCGCACACCCCCAGAGCCCAGTGGGGAGCGAGGAGGAGCAACATCTTCAGCAACAGCTAGGAGTGTAGAAGTGACAATGAGCGCTGCTCAGCTCTTGGCCAAGGGAAAGCAAGTCTGGATGCCTTTCAAGAGATGATTTTCTGCCCTTTCCTTACACAAAGCACTACTTGACCAGCCAACGAAAAGCAAAGCTGAACTCTCAACTGTAGCCGAATGCTTTAATTTCTTCCACTTTATCTCATAGGCTCTTGGCCATCCGTAGACACAAGCTGCCAATCACTGGCCGAGTCCATCCCCGCCAGCTGTGTGGGTCCTGAGCTGCCGCGTCTCGCGGTGTTCGGAGAACAGTCCTGCAAGATTCCGCCCATCTTCTGTCCTCACATGCAGACTATGAAGACACATGGCATGGAGGACCTCCTCATTACAGGTGCACCACGAAGGGCTGTCAAAGGGATCCATTTGCTGGGATATGGATAAACCAGACCGGTTGGAACCAGGCTGCTGCTTGCGATGCCTTGTCAGAAGGGATCACAATCCCACCGGAGAGCAGCATTGTTGACGCCCGGGGCTGGGCATGCTCTTCTCTGCCACAGACATGGCAAACATTTGTCCCATTGCATCTCCAAAGCAGCATCTGGTTCTCTCTCTCCACAAGCAGAGCCGCATTATTAGGTTAGCACTACGCTGGGGTGTTGGGGGTGTTGGGGGTTGTTTTGCTGCCCAGTAGGACTGCTCTGCCCTCCTCTTGCCACCCATCTCCCACCCCACAGTCCAGCAGGGTGATGTCCCCCCGCCATGCTCAGCCAGGCAAAGCTGAGCCGAGCTCTGGGAGCTGCAGGGATGATCGTGCTATTTCTGGTGTCCAGAAAGAGGTGTAATCCTCTGTCTCAGAGTGAAAACTTTCTTTGGAGAGAAAGTAGAGTCAAGCTATTGGCTTTCAAACAACCCTACAGCTCATTTGCAAGCCTCCATCTCCCAAAACACCATCTCCTCCAGCTGAGCAAGGGCACAGACCTTCCAAAACAAAGCCTCTGGAGATTATATCCTTGCAAGTAGAGGAAAGGCATTACCAAATTTCAGATCCCTCCTCCAATGCCATGGAGGACCATGTGCTGTGCCGCGCTGTGCCAGGGATGCTGCTGGGGTCAGGACGTTGCTGCCAGATGCAGCCCAGGGAGGGACTGACCCCTCTGCTGCTGCTGCAGCTGAAGCAAAACGCAATGTCGGTGACCGACACAGCTGCAGAAATAGAGCGGCAGAGCCTGCCACCGGCTCTGCCACCACGGCCCCAGACCGGGGGAGCCACCAGGGCAGGCGGTGGGGGAAGAGAGGGGTCGGGTGTTTAGGGATCCCCCAGGGTGCATCTGGGACCAGCCTGGAGATGATGGTGAGGACAGAAACTCAAGTTGGTGGCATCAGGGGTGTCTGGGGATTGCAATGCCTGGCAAAGCACCCGGATGATTTTTTTTCAGGGAAGGACCTAAGAGACTTTGAATGTCACCGACCCCGAATCAGGCCTGAGGTGGGGGTGTGCTGAAAAATACCCGTGCCATGCATCCTCCCCGCCTCGCCCTGCAGACCAGGGGCTGGCTGCCCTCGACAAACAGCTGAGCAGGGCCTCCTTACAGCCATTACTGAAAGCAGGTGGGCTAACCACCCTGGCCAGGCTTCCAACAAGCTCCGCAATGGCTCAGTTCGGTTGGGGTAAATAAGGAGGTAGAGAAGCCACTGGACCACCAACGTAGCACGTCCCCATGGCTTTGCAGAGTGGGCCAGAGGATCTAATGATGTGATAGCTAAGGATGGTTGTCCCTGACTTCCCAACCTGCCTGGGAGCAAGAGGTATCTGAAGGAGCGGCTGTTTTTAATGATGTTTGCCAGGGTCTATGAATAGATGGCTGCAGCCCATATCTATGGTGTTTTCAGAACAGCCAAAAGCCAGGCTGCAAAACCTGGCTGGTAACGGAGGAGTGAGTTAGTTAAGATGATATTTGGAATTAGAGGACGTAACAAAAGCCTCTCCATTGGGTGCTTCTGCCACGATGGGAAGGTATCTGAAATCCTTGCCTCTCACAAGGACCGTCCAGTTGTATGTGCAGAAAAGGTCCTGGTCAGAGCACTCAGGCTGGTCCTGCTTTGCCGAACACTGAGGAGAGCTCAGCAGCTTCGAGAAGTGTTTCCAAGTCATGCTCCCTTTTCCCAACTGGGATCTTTCCTGGTGCCAAAAATCGCTGGGCAGCCCAGCAAGGGCTCTCCCAGGAATGGCAGCTCTCAGGGGCT